GTTGTTAACTGATTTGTTTAAGTATTAAGATTCTTTCTTACCTGATGAAAGTATGGTGTGCATGCATATTTTGGTAACAATTATAAAATAACTTTGAGGAAATACCAGAAAATAAACTGTGTTTTGATTAAGCCTCTCTATATATAGTGCTTTATTTTGGAAGTGTTAGACATCCTATATATGTAGCAATTAAAATGATTCTGAATTAAAATGTAAAACTATCAAATCAATTATAATATATTAAGTTTTACAGTTACATACTGTTAATACACTAGCTAAAACATTTTAAAAGTTAATACTTTGATATTTCACAGTGATCCTTTTACAAGATTATGTTCTAATTTCCTCAGATTAACTTTAAAATATTCTGGGAAACAAAAATGAATAAATTAATTATCTTAACTTTTTAAAGGTTACGCATTTGGGCATAAGCTTTTCAGAATTCAATGTTAAGTGTTCTTTAAAGCAAGTAAGTATGACTAATTTGTAACCATTTTAAAAAGCAAGAATTTTAAGTTTGTTTTTATAGGATCTGAATTTCCCATGTTTCCAAAATGAGAAGCTCTTTTTTAAAGGACTTAAAAGTTGATTTTTATTATAGTTGTCTATTTCTGAGATCTCTAAACCTAGATCTTGTTCCATTTATTAGCAATACATAAGAGCACATCAGCTCCTGGTAGTCATGTCTAAATCTGAACAAAACAGGTGATTTTAATGATCTGTTGAGCTATTTTTAAAGGTCACAGATTTCTAGCTACAGGTGTCTCACATTAAAAAACACAGAAAAGAGTGGTTTATTACCTTTGTCTTGTTCCTTTTGTTGCTTTTCCACCTTCGGTGTTGGAGTCCTTTCTTTGAGAGGAAAACCTGTCATCTGTAACATTTTGATCAAATGATTTGTCTCTATCTTATAGTTCACAGGCAATTTCTGTACATTTTCATATCATTAACTTAATTGAAAGCCAAATTAGGAAGCCAAATAAGTTAGAGATAAAGTTGTCCTTTTGCTGAGAAGAACAAATTGCTTACTTCACACTCGGAGAATCCGGTTCTGCCAGTTAACCGCCCATTCTTTAGATTAAAGGAAGATCATTTTCATTGGAGCTAGTTGGTAACAGGAAGTCCTTGTTAAACTGCCTACATGGAGTATTTGGCACAGTAATTCCATTTCTATATTACATATAAAATACATTTGTTAATAAAATGGGGGTTGTAATTAAACAAAGGTTTCTTTGTTGTCATTTTCTAGGTATCAAAACTTGCTAAAATATACAGAATTCAGCATAAATAGGAATGGAAAGAAGCTTGGTGTAAAAGCTTTCTGTTCCATTTATTTTAAAATGATTGCATTCTAGTCTATTTTAGGAAATCCCAAGGGCTTCACTCATAAAATCATTGAACGACGACTGCCTAAAAAGAGCTCCTGTCTTTAAAGCTTCTGCCCCACTTTCCTTGCTATTGTACCTGGTGTTCTTATTTTAAAATAAGTTTCTTCCAGAGTTTTCAATATAGGGAAACTGAAGTTGGGCTGCAATGTTATGCAATTTATTTTATCAATATAACAATTCAAAATTAATTTTTATCAGGGTGAAATATTTGTTTGAAAAATTGGAAATAAAATATCTCTAACATTAGTAAATTTCTTTTAAAAAAAATATATTTTATTGATTTCTCACAGAGAGGAAGAGAGAGGGACAGAGAGCTAGAAACATCGGTGAGAGAGAATCGTCAATCAGCTGCCTCTTGCACACCCCCTACTGGGGATGTGCCCACAACCAAGGGATATGCCCTTGACCTGAATCGAACCCGAACCTTTCAGTCCACAGGCTGATGCTCTATCCACTGAGCCAAACCGCTTTAGGCAGTAAATTTCTTTACCATCCCCTTTTTTCTGCCTGATTTTTGTGATTTGAGGGTAAGAAGAGGGGCACTGGTATAATTTTTATCAAGGTGACATTTGCCTTTATTCTTTGATTTAGTATACCTACTTCCTGGAATATGTTCCCAAAATAAAAAATAACTCGTTCCCACAGAGAGGGATTAAGTAATTTAAAACTCAGTATTTTGACTGCATTACTTGTGGAATATATTTTAGAGACAAGAATAATCACCAAGAGATTTTAACTTGCATTTAGTAATCTTTAATAATGTTGGCATTGTTACCGGAGAAATGTATCGACAGTCTTTCTCCATAGTGGGAGTGAGGTTCTTGGAGGCTGCTGCTAGAATAAGCATTTCCGGAGGCACTCACAGGAGGATGAGATGTAGTAGGAAGCTTTATGTGCATTGAATTATATAAACCTTTCTGTTTCCAAAGTCCCATTTCCCTTAATCCAGTCCTGGATAAAGTGCAGCTGAGGATTCAGGAGAGCTAGAAGCAAAGCCAGTGTGCAGAGTTTCTGTCCCATGTTGGAGCTGGGTCTGGTTTTGCATGAGTCCATTAGTCCATTGTGTGTGGACAAATGCAGGACCATGAGAGTCCTACAAGCCAGGAGCAGGAACCAAGAAGCAAGAGAGCAAACTCCTTTGTTTAGGAGTTTAGGTATCTCAAATCTTCCCATAACTGTAGTAGCCACACCTATCCTGGCCAATGACTTGTCCTCAGATGTGATTGACAGGCAAGTAAATACCTTCCCTTACTTGGGCATGCCTCTAATATTTGGCCTTTCCTTTGTTCCTTTCCAGTTACTCATAACTAGTTAATTACAACGATATCATTATTCTTGTGTTGAAACATATATATTGTAGGATAAAGCAAATAGTTAATATCAGTGTTATTAGGAACTTCATTTTTCAGCATAAGAAAAAAGCGATACAATTTAAGAAGTTAAGTAAAAGTGTGATAATATTTTATTGAAAATGGAAAAATCAATATGGGCTCATGATTTAAATTTTTCTTTCTTAAAAAAGCTACCCCCCACCTTTGTCCATTGAAAAAGGGTCTAGAAAACAATGGCAAGGCAATAGCAATAAATGTTCATAGCACCCAGATTGTGGTCTTTAAAATATCAGTCCTCATTGAAAAGAACAAGGGCTCCTTAGGGAGATGGATGATTCCAAGTCTAGAATATTGTTTCTTACAAAAAAATCAAGAAAATATAAAAAACATGGAGTTGTACAGGAAGAACACAGAAGCCAACACCATGAGGATTTCCACTGACCAAATTGTGTAACTTTGAGCCTCAAAAATAATCCCCCTTCCACCACTCAATCTTCATATGGGGAGTGTGAGAGGCAGCTGACCAATGTTTCACTCTCACATCAATGTTTCTTCCTGTCTCCCTCCCCTTCATCTCTCTCACAATATCAATGAAAAAAAAATCTTTAAAAAGTAACTACAATTATTGAAATATAAATATATTAAAAAAATCTATTTCATAATGATATAACACACAAACCAAAAAAAAAAAAAAAAAGGCAACTTGATCACCTTTGGAGGTAGATATAGCATCAATTTATTAAGAAAATTAGGAAATGAAGCCAAAGGATCAAACATTTACCTTAACTTTTCTCTGAATTGTATTTAAGTAAGAGTTAGCAAGTAATTGATGCAAGCTTACTTTTTAACAAAAATTCAGTAAATGCAAAAGGAATATAGAACTAGGAAAGTCATGATTTTATAAGCTCTTATAAAATAATGGAATTTAGCAAAGGTCATCGGTGGATGCTAAATTCATTAGATGGGAGTATTTTGGCTGAATCAGGCTGACTCCAGCTGAATCCACTGATCCATTTTACATCACTAAATGGTGCAACCAGATGCCTTCAAAGTAACCAACACAATGTGGATAATTTACATATATATATTGAAGAGGAAGGAAGAGGGAGAGAGATAGAAACATCAGTGATGAGAGAGAATCCTTGATTGGCTGCCTCCTGCACAATACCCACTGGGAATCGAGTCAGCAACTCAGACATGTGCCCTGACTGGGAATTGAACCCTGACCTCCTGGTTCATTGGTCGACACTCAACCACTGAACCATGCCAGCCAGGCCATGTGGATAATTTTTAAAGATAGGTGATAAGGGTTCATTAGATTTATTGTTCTATATAATTGTTAAATAATATATTTTTACCTGAAATACCTATCAAACCCTGACCAAGACAGTGTGTTATTAAACTTTTTTACCTCTGCTATCTGATAACAAATTGTGTTATTTTGTGATAACTTTTTTTTAAGAACTTGTTTTTGGTCCGGCTGGCATGGTTCAGTGACTGAGCATCAACCTATGAATCAGGAGGTTACAGTTTGATTCCCAGTAAGTGTACATTCTTGGGTTGCAGGCTTGATCCCCAGTTTGGGACATGCAGAATCAGATCAGTGATTCTCTCTCATCATAGATGTCGCTCTCTCTCTCCCTCTCCCTTCCCCTATGAAATCAATATATATAAAGAACTCTTTGTGTTTTTCATTTTGTTGTTTCCCAGTTTGTTTCTAATGGAATATAATGTTCTTTATGTGCTGTGTTATGCAAAATAAATTAGATAGAAATGACCCTACCTCTCCAGTAAATTGCATGATTTATGTGGACACATTCACACACTGGAAATACAGATGAGCTCAAATACTACAAGCTCAGAATGAACATTTGAGTATTTAAAACATGAATATTTTGTATTTTCAGAAGATAAGGACATAAGATAAGGATATTTGCATCATGATGTATGTATTTTAAGAAAAAGACATAATTAATCTGAAAATTAGAATTGATGGCTGAGGCCTATGAAAACTAGTTTGTTTCTATCTTGTTGGCCTATTGACCTGTTGCTTGTTTTCTTAACCTACTTGACTTCTCTTTCTTAGGTCAATTCTTACGAACTTATTTTAGCTATAAAATAAAGAATAAATGGTGAAATAGATTCTGTAGTACTCTCTTAAACCAGTATATTCTGTAGTCAGTAGGTTTAAAACTCTGGGATGAGAACATGGTGAAAATATTTTTAAGTGGCTGTCTGATTACATATTTGCTATAAAAATACTATATTTATATCTCTATAGGTTGGCAAATAAACAAGACAAGGAAGGGGCTTTAGGAGAAGCTGATGTGATTGAAAGTCTGTCTCTGGAAAAAATGGTCAATGAACACAAGTGCCTATGTCAGATAGTAAGTTTTGGGGTTGTTTTCCTTTTTCCCTATGAAATATGTTCAGTATAACTTAGTTTTTGTAAAGGTGAAAGGCAATCAGGTGGCAGACAGCTAACAAAATAATGTATTAGTGTTTTAAAAGAACTTTTTTTTTAATCTAGGGAATCACATTCTCACTGTTTTTTGTTGTTGTTATTTAATACTAGTAGCCTGCACATAAACCCATGCTCCAGTAGCTCGCCAGTAGCTCATTGCTGCCCTCCAGTAGCTCTCCACCTGCTGCCCTGCCTCCTCCTGTAGCTTGCTGCCCCACTTTCCTGTTGACTTGTGATCCGGTCATTACATGGTCGGTCATTAGGCATGTTACATATTTATTATATAGGATTGTAATATTTGTTTTCTATTTAGTTGTTATTGACTTCCATAAACTGTCTTTTGAGATTTCAAAGACTCTAGATTTGCTTTTTGTTTAAGATAGTGCTGACAAGCTATACATCTTGCTATACTTTTTAAAAAAATACATTTTTATTGGTTTTGGAGAGAAAGGGAGTGGAAGAGAGAAGAAACATCAGTGATGAGAGAGAATCATTGATTGGCTGTCTCCTACACTCTTGTTATTGGGGATTGAGCCCACCACATGAGCATGTGTCTTGACAGGGAATCGGCAAACCATGACCTCCTGATTCATAAGTTGATGCTCAACCACTGAGCCATGCCAACCAGGCAAATTTTTTAAATGGTAAAGAAAACATACAAATACAAAATTTAAACATACGAGAGATTTGCAATGAGTTTTGAAAAATCTTATCAAGAGAGTTATATAATCTTAAGAAAGATGGGCAGAAGATGTAAGTATTCTGGTTTCAGAAGATGGAGACATTAGATTGTCAATCTTAAAAGATGATTTCTGCTATTAATTCCTTAAGGACTGTAAGTTCGATTTTGTCTTCCAGTGAGTTTGTTTTAACTGGCACTGTTGACTTCCTGTGTTATAGTATCTCTCACAGCTTACAGATATTATACTTGAAATATTTCAGCTCCTATGTACTAATGTTAGTGGTCATCGCAATGGTATATTTTGTGAATTAAATAAGCAGGTGCTTTATATCATTAATTTAAGGGGTTAATTTTGATTTACAATAATTATACTTACTGGTTTTTGAGTAGATTTTTGTGGAGAACTTTTAGTTTTCATGTTTATGCCAAATAAATTGGTGTTTTTCAGGAACCTTGTTCAGCAATCTTGGGATCTGGAAAGAAAATTGACAAATCCATTAAAAAGGGCCTTTATTGGCTGCTAGATATCATTGCAAGAGATTTTGATGCCTTAAATGAACGCATCCAAAAGGACACAACAGAACAACGTGCTCTTGAGGAACAAGAGAAACGAGAAAGGGCTGAACGAGTGCGAAAATTACGAGAAGAAAGGTAAGTATATTAATTTTGTACCACAGTCCACTGTCATTTATTGAGAAACCCTTCTTTAACCTCAGCAAAGACAGAAGCAAGCTGATAGGGGATCAGTCAACTGAAGCAAAATCTGATATTCAACACTAGTTTTCTCACAAAATAAACTAAATTATACTGTTTTGGGTTTTTAAAATATATTTTTCTTTTTTAAAAAAAATATATTTTATTGATTTTATACAGAGAGGAAGGGAGAGAGAGAGAGCTAGAAACATCGATGAGAGAGAGTCATCGATCAGCTGCCTCTTGCACACCCCCCACTGGGGATATGCCCGCAACCAAGGTACATGCCCTTGACCGGAATCGAACCCGGGACCTTTCAGTCCCCAAGCCGACGCTCTATCCATTGAGCCAGACCGGTCCCGGCTAAATATATTTTTCAAATTATTTTAAAAATATATTTCCTGAAAGGAAACTTTTAAACTAAATTTATCAAACTTTGAATTAAAAAGACAATGATTCTACCACAGAATCACTTCTAATAATCTTAATTCTGTGAAAAAGTACTCATATTTGATTAAAATACAAATTTGGTACTTTATCCCAAGATTTCTCTCCCTCCCCTTCCCCCCAACTAGATAGTTGCCTAGTAGGAGAGAAATCAAAAGATATTTAAGTGAGCTCTTACAAGATCTAAAGTTGTCTTCCATATACCTAAGAAATATTAGCCCTCTATATGCTCTAACATATTTGTAGCCTAGTAGACATAAACCCACTAAGCAGCCTTTGGTTGTGACTTTGTGAGGTATTTTCTTACACTGAAAGGAAATCCTCTGATTAAAGGTATCTTTCATTTAATTTAGAGGTAGGACTTAAAGGAAAAAAATACTTGTAGAGATAAATCCTATTGCCAAGTGCTCAATAATATGAACAGATCATTTATCTAGGATCTCTCTTGATACTGATTGAAGTTTTAGTTCCTGTGAGAAATTTGGTATTCTATATACAAAATATATATATATTTTTGTAAGTATACAAAAATTTAGTATATTTTCATGATGTAAAGCTCAGTAAACCAATCATTAATGTAGTTCTACCTTTTATATACTTATAAAAATAAAGTATATGAATATACTTTTCTGAAGACTCCTTTGCTTTTTTTCCATTAAGAAAACAAACAAAGAGAACAAAGATATTGAGCTGGATAAAAGAAATCTGATGTTAGTTATCCCCCACCTCCCCAGTTCTTACCTTTTCCATAAAGATGTTCTAGGTCATGTGATGGCAGGTCTTTCTAATAACCATTTTCCTTTCCTCCTTTCTCTTAGCCATACTATATGTGGTCTAAGGCCTCTACTGTTGAGCACAGTCTCCATAATTAAAAGTAAATTGGAATTTAGAGAGGAGTTATTAAAAAAAAATTTTTTTTACTTTATTAAATCCAATCTTAAAGTTATAAATATTTTTAAAAAACTGTAAAAAAATTATTCTTGGTATCTGAAAATAGTAGTATAATACTGGATACCTAAAACTGCTTGCTAATAAATTAGTAACATTAATAACAATTACTGTCCTATAAGTGCTTTCACATATATTATTTTAGCTGAAACAACCCTATGAAGTAGATATTTTTATCCACATGAGAAAACTGTCATTCAAACATCCAGATACATATCCAAGGTCACAGAGGTCGTAAATTGCTGACCTCTAAGTCTTGATTTGCTATGTTCAGAATGAAAGGATAGGTCTTTCCATCAGAGGACATAATTAATAAATGTCATAGTAATGAACATTCACATTGCTGTACTATAGTTGCAGCCCATTTGCAGATCTACACTAGTCACCAGCTACTTGTTTATACTTAATTACTCTTCATTTATGGGGCAACATTAACTAAAAGTCACAGAGATAGTGAATGTTTCAGTAGTAACAAATATGGAAATACTTAATATAAGTGATATTGTGCAACTTATCTTTATAGCCTCTTCTATTATGCAAACCAGCAGTCATTATCTAGTTCATATATGATAAGTAATTTGACACAGCCCTTGAGAAGAGGATTAACGAGGATTCATTTATCTGTTAACATCAATGAAGAGGACAGCACTGGTTTGGGATGGTAATTAATAAATTGAGAAATATAATAACTTAGCACATAGGATAATTAATATGCACTGTTGACATTAAGAAATCAGCCATAGGGAATGCTATTTTTGTCATTTCTATCTTTTAAAAGTTCAAATGAATAATCTTTACAGAGGGGTAGAGGCCTGTAAACTGCATAAGGATTTCTGAAAATCTCTCAATAATTTAAAGTCATATCAAGATATTTAAATTACTAAACTTAATAGCCTTAAAACTATTTCAAGTGTTCTTAAACATGGTTCAGCATTTTCTCAGGAATTACAATTTTTTCCCCTCAAACAATAGAGAACAAAGAGAGCGAGAGCAGGCTGAACTCGATGGAACCAATGGTCTGGCTGAGGTGGATCCAGAACCAATTATTGTTAATCCTTTCCAGCCGATAGCAACTGTAATCATTGAGGTATGGATGGTGGCAAATGTGATATTTATATCGTAAGTTTTAAAGTTGGCAGGGAATTGGGAAAGGAGGTAGGGTGGTAGAAGTAAGTATTTCACCAGAGGCCCATTACCATTATTTATTTAAAAAAAAAAAAATTAAGTGGAACAGACAGATTAAGATTTGCTGCTTTTTCATCCTCTTCAAATTTATCTTCAGATCTAGCATAAACAGGAAATCTGACTTAAGAATTCACTGAGAATGAAAATGAAGATTGAATGTAGCAACTGTAATAGTTACTGTTCTCATAAATCATTTTTTGGCATTTATTTCAGCTGGTGGTAATATATTTACTCTTATTTACATTGTCTCTTTGGCCCTGTATTGCTATTACTATTATCTCTTTACAGTAATATTTAGATGCATAAATGAATTTCTAATTGTTTACCCAGGATACTGAAGAGTGTTTGAAATTATGATAAACTAGAGGCCTGGTGCATGAAATTTGTGCACAGGGGGTGGGGGGTGTCCTTCAACCCAGCCTGCACTCTCTCTAATTGGACATCCCTCTCATAATCCAGGATTGCTGGCTCTCAACCGCTCATCTGCCTGCCTGCCTGATTGCTCCTAACCTAAGGTGACAAGACGTCTCTCTTTTGGCGGGACAGTCCCAATTTTTAACAATTTGTCCCGCGTCCCACAGCATTTTAAAAAAGTCCAAAAGATTTAAAAGAATCTTTCAAAAAATCGGGACTTTTTTAAAACGCCGCAGGACGCAGGACAAATTGTTAAAAATCGGGACTGTCCTGCCAAAAGCGGGACGTAGGGTCACCTTATCCTAACTGCTTCTGTCGGACAGCCTGATCACCCCCTAACCACTTCCCTGCCAGTCTGATTGACATCTAACTGCTCCCCTGGAGACATGGTCACCCCCAACTGCCCTTTCCTGCAGGCCTAGTACCCCCAACTGCCCTCCCCTGCTGGCATCAGTCACCCCTAATTGCCTCCCCTGCCAGCTTAGTTCTCTCCAATTGCCCTGCCCTGCTGGTCTGGTCACCCTCAATTGCCCTCCCCTGCAGGCCTGGCTCCCCGCAACTGCCCTCCCCTGCTGGTACTGGTCAACCCTAACTGCCCTTCTCTGCTGGCTCTGGTCACCCCTAACTGCCCTTCCTTGCAGGCCTGATCACCCTCAACTGCCCTCCCCTGCCGACCTGATTACCCCTAACTGCCCTCCCCTGCCAGCCATCTTGTGGCAGCATTTGCGTCCACATGGGGACAGCCATCTTTGACCACATGAGGTCCATCTTGTATGTTGGAGTGATGGTCAATTTGCATATCACTCTTTTATCAGATAGGATTCTATTTGTGAATATGATTTATTTTTTTATTTTAATTATCAGTAATTTTATCAAAATTAATTTGTAGATTATAATCATGAAGAAGTTAAGTGTGTGTGTGTGTATGTGTGTGTGTGTGTGTGTGTGTGTGTGCGCGCGTGCTCGCGCACTTGCATGTATTTGTGTCTTTGTTTTCATTTTTGACAGAATTTGCATTAGACCTACTTTAATTGCCCTCAGCAGCCAAGCCTCCTCAAAGGCAGAGCTTCCTCAACTTCCTCTCTATTCACCAGAGCTTATTGTGGCAGTTGGTTTATTGGTCCCACTGCCTGCATGTTCTCCATTCCTCTTCCCTGTCACTGCCTCCTTCCACACAGGTGCTCCTCTGGAAAGGTGGATGATTGTTTTCTCCTGGGGCTGCTGCTGAGGAGGGAGGCAGCTCCGTAGGTAAGAAGATGATTGGATAATCTTGGTATTCCTTTAATTTGCAAATTAGTTGGTAATATGAATTATTTGTATTTAAGTTTCTTAGGTACCAGAAGGTTAATGATACTTAGTCTTTTTATTAATCCCATTGCATTTAACTGTGTGCTTTTCTAAGTATAGTAAAATTATCTTAATAACTTAAGCTATCCTTTTGTCTCCATCCTATTAAATATTAGTTTTGCCAAGTTTTCTTTTATGCTCTTTAAAAATATTGATGAAGAAGAGGGAAATCAACTTTGACTCTTCACTTTGAAACATTTAGTTATGTGTGTAATAAAGCTCACCTTGTAAATGATAGCCAATTTTATAGTATCACTAGAAACCTTAAGCACAAAATTCGTGCAAGGGGCTTAGCCCTTGCAGCTGCAGCTTCGTCCAGAAGGTTGTTCGGGAGGTCATTTGGCTGTCAGGTCTAATTAGCATATTATGCTTTTATTATTATAGAATTATAGATGGTTATTTAGAAAAGGCCTTAGTACTTCTACCAACATTGTATTTTTTACTTAATAAAGATGTAAAAATATCTTATATTGAAAGTCCCTGAATTAATTAGTGGCATGGGGAACATGCCTTATTATGCTGTTAAGCTACAATAATTTTAAGAAGATGATCAGTAAATAAATGAAACAAATGAAAACCAATTACTTGTAGACTATTTTATACCAAGTATATTTTCTTTTTTACACAAAATTTCAAAATGTTTGTATTTTAGAGAAGCACCTCACATTCCTTTTATTTTTATCACAAATAATAAAACTGGTGAGGTATTGGTTCCAGAACAGACAAAGACTAATGGGACATTGGTAAATATGCAATAAACATAATTATGTCTGAGCATTTTGTAGAAGATAAAGGTGGCATTTCAAATGTGGGAGAAGAGGATTTGGGGACAACTGAATAATCATTTTGCAAAAAGTAAAATTAATAAACACTGTATATACCAAATTAAAACTCCAGAAGACTTAAAGGTATTTAAAAAAAAAAAGTCTTAAAAATACTAGCTCATAATATAAACATTTGTATATATGTGGAGGAAGAAAAACTTTCAAAGCAGGACAATCAAACCATAAGTCAATAAATAAAAATAGATCTTACTATATTCCATTTTTAAGAGCTTTTCTGCAAAGTTACAGGCAATGACCAAACCCTAAGGAAAAATATTTGAGACACATAGGACAAAAAAAAAAAAAAAATCTTAAAAAATTACTATAATAAAATAGAAAAGGGTACATTGGTGCACTATGGGTAATTTCCTGAAGAAAAATAAGCAGGGCAATAATATTATTTAATAGTTCACCTTCATAGTGATAAACAGTATTGAAATCAGTAGGTTAAACCAACCCTAAGGTAAAAACATTTATTTAGTAGTTTCAACCTTTTGCCTAGGGTGTAAATTGATATTCCTTTTTCTGAAGTGAAGTTTGTAGTATGTTACATTTTAAAATGTGTTTACCCATGACCAACAATTCCAGTGTTAGGAATTTATTCTAAATAATTCAATAGTTGTGTGGTTTTTTTTTTAATAGTGAAAATTGAAAGTAACCTCTTAGTTCATCGATTGGGAATTGGTAAAATAAGTTATGGTATAAAAATTCAAAATGATAATATAATTGGTGAAAGTAATTATCGCTAACACTTTATGAAGTGTCAGGCACTATTTTAAAAAATATATATATTCTTAATTAAAAACTAGTTCTTTTTTGTTCAAAAACAAATGCATTAATATGTACATATAAACAATCTATCGCATTTTTGTATGTTTGTGGGTGGTGTATGTCTGTATGTGTGCGGCAGGCAAAGAGAAGCATCTCTTAGTGATGATATACCAACCAGTGGTTATCTCTAGGTTGTGGAATTACTGGTGGTAGTTGATTCATTCTTTTATACAGTCTGTTTTCTGTTTGGTAATTAGTATATTTTAGTGATGTTTTTAACAAATAATTTTAATGGAAATATCGCAGTTCCCTGACGGTATAGGAAACTCTTGGATTATTTTATTTTTCTCTTATAATTATCATAGATACAACTGTTATATTAAAGATGATATATTTCATTTTTCTTAGAATGAAAAAAAACTTGAAAGAGAGAAAAAGAGGCAAAATGCAGAGAAAGACTGTGATGCTTGCCCCCTGAGAAATAAAATGGAGCATGAGCAGATGGAGACACAGAGCCAGATCAGTGACAGTAGCCAAAAAAGCAATGAGTTTGGAACCATAGAAAACTATAACGAAGCATTAACACAGCAGTTGGAGAATGAAGATGAGGCAGACCAGCCATCATCAGAATCAGGTAAATTTAGTTATTAAATAAAAAAGATTATATATATAAATATAAATATATATATATATATATATATATATATATATATATATATATATAACTTCTTTCACCTGTTATCATTATTTTCACACAAAATTTATTTTTTGTCTGCAAATGCAGTATTTATCATGGATTTCTCATGGTTTTTACTCATTAGTTTGCCAACTTATGTTTTTATTCATGATGCCTTAAAATATAGTCTTTTGTAATGAATTTCAGCAGAAAATTTTTTTAAAAAAATATATGTTATTGATTTTTTACAGAGAGGAAGAGAGAGGGATAGAGAGTTAGAAACATCGATGAGAGAGAATCATCGATCAGCTGCCTCTTGCACACCCCCTACTGGGGATGTGCCCACAACCAAAGTACATGCCCTTGACCAGAATTGAACCTGGGACCTTTCAGTCTGCAGGTCGACGCTCTATGCACTGAGCCAAACCGATTTCAGCAGAAATTTTTCTTATTTTACTTTCATAAATTTGGAATATAGCATAGCCCCAGGAATTCTTGGAATGTATTTAATACCTTTCAAGCTTTTTGAGGTTTTGTTTGTTTCTTTTTAAGCCTCATAATGCTACAGTCAGCATCACTTTATTTATTGACATACTATTTCTGTAGGATACAGACATAATCAGTTGAACATTATAAGTCTTATCAAATAGTTATTTTCCTCTTATTTTAATACCATCAAATTTTCAGTTCATAATTACTTTGTTTTTCTCAGTGGTTATGTAATTTAATAGCAAATTCATGTATTTTGGTATCATAAAGACACAGCCTGTGTCTGGAATCAGACAACCTGGGATAGAACCCTGACTTTTCCATCTACTAGATTTGTGCTATGTTATATGACATTCTTCAGTCTTCCTCATCTCTAAAATGGAAATAAGCATCATTTTGTACATGGATTTTAGGGTTACTTATGGAAAAAATAACTCTACAGTGTTCGAGCACAGGCCTGACACATGGGAGCTACCTGGTACTGTAATTATTAGTTTCTTGCCATTCCTAGTTAGCAATTTGGCTCCATTATATATGAGAATTTTTATACAGTATCAAAAAGTTCATAAAAATAGATTTTAATCTTGAGGTGTAGATTAGCTAACATGGATACTTTGCTATTTAGCAATAATTAGATTTGAAAGTTATTTTTTTAATTAAATCTTTATTGTTCAGATTATTACAGTTGTTCCTCTTTTTCCCCCCATAGCTCCCCTCCACTCAGTTCCCACCTCACCCCATGCCCTTACCCTTGCCACTATCCTCATCCATAGGTGTATGATTTTTGTCCAGTCTCTTCCCGAGAATTGTCAGTCCACTCCCTTTCTATGCCTCTGATTCTATTATATTCACTAGATTATTCTGTTCATCAGATTTTTTATTCACTTGATTTTTAGATTCACTTGTTGATAGATATGTATTTGTTGTTCATAATTTTTATCTTTACCTTTTTTCTTTTTCTTCTTAAAGAATACCTTTCAGCATTTCATATAATACTGGTTTGGTGGTGATGAACTCCTTTAGCTTTTTCTTATCTGTAAAGCTCTTTATCTGACCTTCAATTCTGAACGATAGCTTTGCTGGGTAGAGTAATCTTGGTTGTAGGTTGTTGCTATCGGTATTTATCACTGAATATTTGTTGCCACTCTCTTCTGGCCTGCATAGTTTCTGTTGAGAAATCAGCTGACAGTTGTATGGGTGCTCCCTTGGAGGTAACTGCTTTTCTCTTGCTGCTTTTAATATTCTCTCTTTGTCTTTTGTTCTTGGCATTTTAATTATGATGTGTTTTGGTGTGATCCTCTTTGGATTCCTTTTGTTTGGAGTTTTCTGTGCTTCTGGACTTGTAAGTCTTTCACCAGGTGGGGGAAGTTTTCTGTCATTATTTCTTCAAATAGGTTTTCAGTGTCTTGCTCTCTTTCTTCTTCTGGAATCCCCATAATTTGGATATTGGTATGCTTGAAGTTGTCTCAGAGGTTCCTTACACTATCTTCATATTTTTGGATTCTTTTTTCTTTTTTCTTTTCCAGATGGATGTTTTTTGCTTCTTTGTATTTCAAATCTTTGACTTGATTCTTATGATCCTCTAGTCTGCTGTTGGGTCTCTGTATATTATTTTTTATTTCAGTCAGTGTATGCTTAATTTCTAATTGTTTTTTGTTTGTTTGTTTTTCATATTCTTGAGGGTCTCACTAAATTTATCAGCGGTTTCTAGGAAATTCTTGAAAAACCTTGTAACCGTGGTTATATCCAGTAGTTTGCTTTCCTCCATTTCTGTTATTTGTGACCTGTTTCTTTTTCTCCACATTTTGGCTGCTTCCCTGTGTTGATAGAATGGCTTTGTGTGCTAGGTGTCCTATAGGGCCCCGTGGCTCAGCCTCCCCAGTTACCTGAGGTGGACATTCTAGGTGCACCCCTTTGTGGGCTGTGTGCCCAGTCTTGTTATAGTTAAGCCTTGGTTTTTGTTGGTATCACTGGGAGGAATTGACCTCCAGGCCAATTGGCTGTGAGGATCAGCTCTGTCTACACTGGGAGAATTTCTGTGCTGGAGACACCCTTATGGGGAAGACTTGCTCCAGTGGGGCTTTGGTGCTCACCGAGTCTGCCCCTTGAGTCTGTCCCTTTTGGATCTGAGGAGTTGTAATTTGGGTGGTCCCACTCTGAGCCCTGGGTACATTGGCTCTTGGATCTCCAAGGAGGTGCTAATTTAGCCTCTGCCTGAGGCCACCCAGCAGGAGCTATGGAGAGAGCTGCAGATTCCTCTTCTTTGCTTGGATTTTGGAGGTGCCCAGATGAGGCCCAGCTGTGAAGTAATGCATGCTGCTGTGGGGCCTTGGGCCTTATTTTGGATGTTCTGGGTCTCTCTGACTCAGCTGCAGTTTGTTAGGTAAATTTAGATTTCAAAGACCAGGCCATTCATATGCAAATGCCTCTGCTCACCTTGGCTGGGGCGGGGTCTCAGGGCAGAGCAAACAGCAATGGCTTCTCCTTAGCCCTACCCTAAGAGGCCCCCAGGTCTCAGTTTCCCTTGCTAATTGCTGCAAGCACCTCTGAGATAAAGCTGCCCTTGAGTTCCACCAGCTGCCAGATTGTCCAGTTTCTCTCTAGGTCCCCAGTCTTGCCCGGAACTGGAATTCAGAGCAGTCAGGAGCTTAGCTTGTGTCACCCGGCAGATTGAAAAAGCCAGCTGTGTACTCAGTTGCCAGCCCTCTCTGCATGCACACCTCTGCACTTTACTTCTGCAGCTCCTCTGAATCTGTGTGCTTTTCTCTTTCCTTCTAGTTGTAGAATTTCCACTTAGCCAGCCTTCCTGTGGTTCTGGATGATGTCCTTTTTGACTTTTAGTTATAGTTTTGAAGTGGTTGTGCGAGGCAGCAAGTTCAGGTATTTATCTATGCTGCCATCTTGGTTTTCTCCGAAAGTTATACTTCTTGTAAGTGGGGAAGTTAGAGTAGCCATATTTGGACCCATAGCTCAGTAGAAGAGTTACACAGAAGGTAGACTTAGAGTAGTTTCTCAATATATTTAAAGAACTTTTTCTAACACAAATACATTGTTAAAGAGCAAAATCATTTGACAGATATTTGAAAATAAAGTGTAGGAAGATGTTAGTCAATCATAAAACTATAATAATTGTTATAATTAACATTTTATTTTATAATTTATAACATGGTTTCAGATTCCTTATGTTATTATTTAGCATAGCAGTCCTAGGGTATATTATTCCCATTATACAGAATAGGAAACCAGGACTTGAAGAGGTTGAGTAACTTATTTAAAGTTAACTGCCATCCATCCAAAACGGAAACCATCCTCACCAGCCATGATATTTTGAATTTAATTTAAAAAATCAATTTGCAATGAATAGTATAACAGTAAATATATTACTCATAATTTAGTTGTCCTTGAATATTTTCAGTTTAAAATTCTCACAAAAAATATTTTTTAAGGTGTCTGTAGATGTTTATAGCGTTTAAAATCATACATCTTGTCTGTGGCTGGGGTGAGAGCCCACTTCAGATCATGTGGTCTATCTTTTATGCTCTTTCATGACCCAAGTTACTAACCATCCTAAAGTACCATATCATTCTGGAGGCTCTCTTTGCTTTCTCTTAGCTGTAAAGCTTGTAGTCCTAATTATAGAAAGATGTTTTTGTTTCTATCTGTAGTAAATGTGTCAAATGGCACTAATTCATTTAGAAAATATGCTTCTAAATATTGTTGCATTTTTCATTGCTTTGTTTACACTAGGGTGTCCCCCTAAAATATATACACATACTGTGAGTAATTATAAAGGCAGTGTTTATTAAAATACATTTCATTTTCAAAATTGAGCTATCAGCTATTATAGTGTATATACATTTTTAAAAATAATTTCTTAGGTAATAGATAATTCCCATTTTAGAAAATATATTATGTAGTATATAAAGTTAGTTTGGGATTGTCAATGAAAATGTTTCAGTAACTTTAATGTTTGGTTATTTAACTACTATGCCATTCCTGGCTTACATTGTTAAAGTCTACATCTTAACAACTTACATGTCCTTAAAATGTTATGTGTTTAATTGGAATCTGTAAATATACTGTAATTATTTTTTTCCAAAGAACACAAATTCAGTTCTGCAAATTCTAATGTGGATTTTGATTATATATGTATTTGGGCATATGTTATTTGGGGGTTATTTTAATGGGTAATGTGTTTAGGTTTTATTGGGGTCTTTTTCACACTTCAAAGAATTATTTTGAACCATTTATGCCTAGAATATATTATATGAACCTTCTTTGTATTCTGAATAACTTCTCTTATAACCTTGAATATAGGCTTTTGTTATTTGTATCATATTAATTATTTAATAAGGAAACAATAATTTAACTATTTTTTCAATATATTTTATTTTTTACAGAGAGGAAGGGAGAAGGATAGAGAGATAGAAACATTGATGAGAAAAACCAATCAGCTGCCTCCTACACACCTCCCACTGGGGTGTGCCCACAACCAAGGTACATGCCCTTGACCGGAATCGAACCTGGGACCCTTCAGTTTGTAGGCTGATGCTCTTTCTACTGAGCCAAACTGGTTAGGGCAAATAACTTAATTTTTAGTAAAAGCAAGTTCACATTTCATTAGTAGTAATAATTTCAAAGTTGAATTCAAGGTATATTTCTATGGTAATAATATCAATATTCTAGTTCTGTTCTTAATTTTTATTATAGAAGTTTAATTTTCCCCCATACCATGTTTTTATTCTGTAGATAACAGTAAAAAGAAAACTAAGAGACTAAGAATAAAAAGAAGTCACCGTGTAGAGCCCGTTAATACAGATGACTCTGTTCCTAAGAGCCCAACACCACCCCCGCCGCCCCCTCCTGGTGAGTAATTTAATATCGATACTGAATTTAGAAATACTGCTTTAAATAATGAAGAAAAAGAAAGTAATTATGTAATTTTTATTCAGTATATTCATTATTTTGTGAATTTTTGAAAAGTTAGAGTTCTTTGCTCTCTTTTGTTCATAATTTATCAACATAAGTTACCTATTGCTTTTTTAACAATCAAAATGTAAAGTAAAAAAATAAGTAAAAAAAAAAAAAATCTTATGCAGGCACTTCCTAGAATGGATTCAAATCTTATTTAAAATATCATTGCACAGATGCTAAAAGGAATTTAAGCTTACTGAATGGATGGTTAATATGAGCTTTTAAAAAATTGATCTTTCATCCTGAAAGTAAACATTTGAAACCAACATATGTGAATTTTTTCATTATATTTTCAACTTACATACTGACCTTCTAAGTTTTTTTTATGATGATTAAATGGAATACTGCATGTAAAGTGTTGGGACAGTACCTTGTATACTATATGTGCTCAATAAATTCCTAAACATATATGTTTATAGTGTCCTTTTAGCTCAGCCAGAAGGCTTTAGATGGTAACATTTTCCTTCGAGAATTATTTGAAGACTCATTTCTAGTATTCCATTTAATAAGTAAACATTTCTTATAGCCTCTGGTAGGGGTTACAACAATAGCCTAAAGTTTTTTATGGTAGTGGTGAAGATGAGTATATTTTTAACTGAAGGCAAATAAAAATTTAAAGCAAATGTTATCAGCTTACAGCTTAATTTATCAGCTTAAATTAGAAGTCATTTAAAATGGGATTATGGTTATTCAGTACTGTGTCATTCAGTATATAGGAATTGACATAAAATGTTATATACATTCCTGTCCAGGGAGGGATCCTCTCAACCAATCTAACTATTTATTATTTAACAGTGTTTTAAATGTTTTTCTTTTTCTTTAGTTGGCTGGGGAACACCCAAAGTCACTAGACTTCCAAAACTTGAGCCTGTTGGTGAAACACGTCATAATGGTAATATAAAAGGATCAGTTTTCAAGTATCTGTATTTATTACATTCAATTTTCTTTACCTCATTACTTTAGCAAACTTTTATTTTTGGAAGCCCTTCAAATCTACAGCCATCCTTTTTCATTATACGTCTTCTTTTTCTATTTGTTTTATTCTTAATGCTCTTTGCCTCTGAATAATTTTAATTGATGTTTACCTTAGAATACAGAGATAAAAATGTTCATTCATTATATATTTATGGATACGGAAAGGCTTTACAGCAATTTAAATTAAATAGACATTATAGTTATAGTGCTTAAAAACTGCATTATCTTATATGTATGTACTCAGTATACTCAATGATGTCAGATAATTGCTCTTTCTCTGCTTCTAATAAGACACCAAGCTGCTGAATATTAAAATGAAGTAAAAAGATCAACACAGTTATAGAATCAGAGACTAATCAAAGTATATTAAATAAACTTCGGCTAACTAGAAAGTTACAAAGGCTTTGTTACCTCAAGAAAGTAATTTTTTTTGGATGAAATTAATATAAGGGATAGTCCAGCCAGCATATGGCATTAGAATTCCACAACTGGAAAACTGGAGAAAGGGCCTTTTGGGAGTAGAGGACTGCCTTGTACCCAGTCAGAAGTTTTGATTTTAGTCCGTCAGCCCAAATTCTTTCAAAGAAATATTTCTGGAATGCAAAAGGATAATATATGTATATTATAGCTCAATAAATGTCTTCATCAATAACATCCAATTTGCTTTTTGATGACACTGTTTACCCAATCTAGAGTTTTTGGTTTCTTACAGAGACCCATTTATTGGGGGGGGGGGGGGGGGGGGTGTCAGAAGTGTAATCTTTAAAAAAGCTTTATTTTACTATATAATTTGAAATTATATCAAACTGTATGAAATACTTTCATTCAAAAAGTATGTAAATATAAATGTGCTCTTTGCTTTCTTTTTACGAATACTATAGGTCAGTAATGAAATATTTCTTTTTATAAGGCCTCTCCCAGTGCCCTTTTATTTTTCCTTCATTTTTCACTTTTGCCCTTTGAGGAGCCAAACATCAAAGAACAGGACATTAAAAAACAACAGTGTATATTAGCTAAATTAGAAACAGACTGGCCAAAACCAGTTTGGCTCAGTGGTAGAGCATCGGCCTGCGGACTGAAAGGTCCCGGGTTTGATTCTGGTCAAGGGCATGTACTTTGGTTGCGGACACATCCCCAGTGGGGGGTGTGCAGGAGGCAGCTGGTCCATGTCTCTCTCATCGACGTTTCTATCTCTCTATCTCTCTCCCTTCCTCTCTGTAAAAAAAAAAAAAAAAAAAAAAAAAAAGAAAAGAAAAGAAACAGACTGTACAACCTAAGGAAAAGCTCAGAAAACACATAAAAACACATTAAATTTATACCTCAGGTTGATCCTCAGCATAGAGGCAGCATATACCAACCAAAAACAACAAATAAAAGCAGTAACAACGAGTGGAAAAAGCAAAGCCTGGGGGAAGGGGAGATTCTGATTTCTAGAATTACTGCATAATTAGATTCAAATATCCAGTGTTCAACAACCAAATCTCAAGGCATATAAAGAAATAGGAAATATGGCTCATTCAAAAGTAAAAATATATTAAAAAGAATTTGTCCCTAAAAAAGATTTAATGGCAGATACAGCAGGCAATGACTTTATAACAATAATCTTAAGAATACTCAAAAACTATAGGAAGATCTAGAGAAAAAATTTTTAAAAATGTATGAACGAAATAGAAATATCACTAAAGAGACAGGAAACCTAAAAAAAACACACAAAACCCACAAATTCTGAAGCTGAAAACTATAACTAAAATGTAGAATTTACTAGAAGAATTCGGAAGCAGAAAAAAATAATGATCTTGAAGATAAAAAAAAAAAAAAAATAGGGAGCCCTGGCCAGTGTCGCTCAGTGGTTAGAGTGTTGGTCTGTGCTCCACAGGGTCCTGGGTTGATTCCCAATCAAGGGCACATACCTAAGTTGCAAGTTGAATCCCCAGCCCCAGGGCATGTGCCGGAGGCAACCAATTGATGCGTCATACAGATGCTTCTCGCTCACCCTCTCTCCCTCCCTTTCCACTCTGTCACATCAATGTCCCCCCCCCCTTCTCTCTCTCTCCCTCTCTCTCTCTCTCTCTCTCTCTCTCTCTCTCTCTCTCTCACTCTCTCTCCATGTCCTCCAGTGAGGATTAAAAAAAAAAATAAAGCATATGCAATACATAAAATGAAAAACCAATAGATTTTTAGGGTTTATCATGAAATCATCTGAGATGCTGATAGGTGCCAATGTTTTGCATATAATTGCAGTTTCCCCCCCTAATTTTATACACATTTTTTTTTTGCATTTGGTTCATGAAAAGTAGATAGATACATGATGAACTAGCATAGATAATTATAGATTAACTGTAATTGGCTTGGCACTTACAATGTATTGTGATAAAAACCAATTTTGTATCGTCAGATGGGAATTTTTTAAAATATATTTTATTGATTTTTTTACAGAGAGGAAGGGAGAGGAATAGAGAGTAGAAGCATCAGAAGCATCAATGAGAGAGAAACATCCATCAGCTGCCTCCTGCACAACCCCTACTGGCGATGTGCTCACAACCAAGATACATGCCCTTGACAGGAATCTAACCTGGGACCCTTCATTCTGCAGGCTGGTGCTCTATCCATTGAGTCAAACCAGTTTGGGCAGATGGGAATTTTAAAGGAAGATTCTTACTTGTTTTATTTTTTTATTATAGACATTTACCTTCATAGCAATTTGATTCTACTTTTCTAATTGCTTTTATTATCTGTACTGCTTATTCAGTGTAACAGATAAGACAAATGCATTCAGAGAAGAGACAATCTAAATTCCCTTTGTAAACACTCAGTCCATACTTCATCAATATGTTACGTATTATACATTATGAGAACTAAATCAGATTTATAAAAAACACCAAATGTACAAACTAAAGAATATTTTCAAAATTTAAAATATGAACAAAGATAAATTTTGTATCTAGTATTACTACTTTTCAGTTTTTCATGTTAAAAGTGTTTGAACCCTTTATAAAAATGGGTATTAAATAAATTGGTCATACCACTTAGGCACTGAGATCAACTTATATATCCCACAGTTAAGGCAATAAGAAACATACTTTGTAGAATGATTTAAATTTTCTGACAAAGAATACAAAATCAACTGCAAAAATAATATTTTGGGAAGTGAAAAAAATACTTCTTGCCAGGTTTTCATAATTGGACACTGGCTCCCTCGGCAGTTTCTGTTCATGCATGTCTCCAGTAAATTGAGACTCACTGTGTTTGCCTGTCTGTTTGTCCAATATTTGAGGCAGTTGTTTGTCCTGTGACTCTTTTTCCCCCATATAGATCCAGGAAGAATTCTTGATTTTTCAGTTTTTTTTAGCTATTACTTCATCTTAAGATGGAGTGATGACTTCCAATTTCCTTAAATGCTCATAGAATTTTGTTAAATTGACATTTGTTAAGTAGATGCTGTATGGTAAGCTTGGGTCCTGGAAAACCACCAGAGACATTGCAATAGAGAAGTTATTACTCACAAGTCCTGGAGGAAGTAATAGCATGCCTCCAGGGTTCCACAGTGGGCGCCAGGGCAGGGCGCAGGCTGAGAGAGCTGCAGGACCTGGGCACTTGGCTGTATTAGGGTCTGTGGGTCATATGCTTTGGTGTTCTCAGGCTAAGGCCACATTGGTCAATTCAAACCAAATAAAGGAGTTTTGTTAAGTTCCGCCTCGGTCTTATCTAAAAAAGGCCCTGGAAACTTGGCGAGGGATAGTGTTGAGCACAGGGCCATTGGGAAAGTCATATCAAGAACTTACATTTATTTACAGCTCTGCATGTGCTTGCATGAGAGCTACTCTTTGTTTAAGGTCCTTCACAGGTCCCTTGGCCAAACAAAATGAATATTGAGGCAGCAGTAGCATGGACTAACTTAGCTAAACTATAGACACAGGCCGAACTGGAAATGGGCCCCTAATACATTTTCAGTATATTCGTTTTACATGATCCAGAACAACTATGCTTCTAGAGTAATTTCAAGGGAATAGGCCAGAAAGCAATTAATTACTAAAATGTTAGATATCCTATTAAATTTATAAGCCAATTTGTGATAATGAAGGGATAGGAACTTATTAAGTTAATAAGACATTTTTGTATCAAATATGTCCTAAATCACTGTACTATTTGAAGCATCATTGTGAAAGATTCTTACTTACACTAAGATTATTAATTACTTCTTCTCCCAAAATGCCTAGAAGAAATCACCATTGAGTAAGAACATGTGTTGTATAAATACTGACTTATCAGGGCTTTGACCATAAATTGGGAGTATTTGTTATTTGTTTTCTTCTAATCTGAATGTGTAATTGGAAACAAATAATGTATACATTAGGTGTAGCTTTTTACTAAATGAAGTAGAGATTAATTTATAATCTAGAGTTAAGAATTTACTCTATTGTTGTCTTTTAAATTTATTCAAGTTTTCTTGGATTTTTTTTTTTCTTTCATGCTTCATCTATCAAGTCAGTCTCTTTTTATTTTTTAAGGTATTAGTTGGCAAATAATGAATTGTGTCAGAAATATTTATTTACCATAACAGTTTGGTATTTGTATTATTCTTTCTCTACATAGATTTTTATGGGAAGCCACTGCCTCCATTGGCGGTGCGACAGAGACCAAACAGTGATGCTCATGACATGATCTCATAACCAAGTCGTACAGATGAGCCGTCTTAATATCAGCAAGATGAACTAGAAGACCTTCTTTATGAAAAAATAAAACCCTGTACATTGATGACTGGGACAAGATAACCATAGCATTTTCAGTGAGGAAATTGATAACCAAAGATCTCACTGACCTGATAATTACTTATCCATGTTGTTTGTGGTTTAATAAAAAATAAAATAAAATAAAATAAAAAACCAGCAGATGGGATGAGCATTATGGACCAAATTACCAAGAGTTAGAATTAACTCTGGTTTATACATCCCCACTCATGGGCATATTCCTGAAGGAAAATCTTTCAGAAAAAGCCAATAGACTTTGCACACTTTCATTACTATTTTTTTAATAGTCTTTATTTCTGTACCGTAAACCTTTTTTGCAAGATACATGTGCATGGAAGGGGAACTCTTGAGAATTTATAACCTAAATTTTTAACTTTTTATATTTTTCTAAAACTTTTAAGAATTTTAATTACTATGATATTGACTGTATACTTTTCTATAGATGCTTTGTTTAAATTGTATCTGGAAAATAGAGTTCATGTACTGGACAAACACTAACTATACAAATGATATATTTATATGTTTTGAGATATGTTTTATAATAGTATTGTCCTTGAAGTATACATACTAATTTGACCTAATTTTAAAATAATATTTAAAAAAATAAATTCTCAGATTTTTATTCTAACAAATTATATTATTTGAAAGCACTACCCAAGCAAAGAGTTAATTTCTTTGTTGTTGTTTTCTTTGATGATGATTCTAATAAAAGAGACTTGAAAAACTAAAATAAAAATGTTATGCAAGATATTAAAAGTCCCAATAAACCCCTATTTAAAAGGTGAAACCCTTCAGAGATCATTGCTCCTTGTCACTCCTTTGTCATCAGCAACTGCTGTGACTCGTAGGTTATTGTAATTCTTTAGTGCCTTGAAATTAAAGGCAAAAAGACTCAAAAAGCTCCTGAAGGTTCAGAAACTTGTGTTTCATAACAGGGATATACTCGGGTACTAAAGCAAGAATAAAGAAACAATTCCAAAATAATTTTTATAAAGAAATAATCCAAAATAATTTCTCAATTTAAAATAATAGCATTTTTCTTGCACTGAAGAATGGCATCTATAGGATTCTCTATTTTTCTGGCTTTTAGATATATGTTTTGAGGAGTAGATTCAAATGTTGCATTTAATTGAAAGCACTTATTCCTATCAAGGTAAAAATACTACAAACGGTGTGATTCCTATATAACCTTGTCAGAATCGGTCAGCTTGGTAATTTGTACTGACAACAATAAGATAAGTATATTAAGGCAGTTTAGTGTGATCATTTGAAAGTTTTACTTGAGAGCATCATCTGTTATTCCAATTTTAAACTTCCTGAACTTTCATTAATCATTTCACTTATTACTCAAGTGAGCTTTATTAAGTCTTGTACATGGAACCAAACTAGCATTCTACTTCAGATATAAAATTCATAATAACCTAAATGAGATAGGCAGCTGAAATGTAAGGAAAATCAACACAAGGAGACATGTAAATTTTGAACTGGATTTTAGAAAAAAAACAAAACTCATTTGTACATCTTTTTGGTTTCTTTTGTAACATTTACATTTCTTCATTTAAAAAATAAACTGAACTCATACTTTTGCCATCTTTTTAAAATTCATCTAGTTTGAGAATAAATGTTTTTTTAACTTGTGATTACTGTACTATACAATAATCACTGAGCCCATTTAATTAAAATACATTTTGAAATAAATATTTTTTGAAATTTCATATATCTCAGAAATTAATTTTTATTCTTAAAGCATTCTAAAAATACTTTAAAATAAGTTTTGTAAATCGAGGTGGCTTTTAATAAAATGCCTATTTTGTTATATGCTGCATTTTTATTAATATATCATAAATTATGATAATTTCAACAATAAACAATTTATATCAGTATTCTATTTTCTCTTGTCATTTGATTAAATTATTTGGGGTAATAAGATAATAGAAAGCTTTTAAAATATAATTGTTGCAAGATATTTTAAGTAGGTAGATTAAAATATGTTTTGCTGTTTTACATTGAAAAACTTTGCAAAAGGTTTCATATATGTGGGAAATAATTTAAAAACAGTTAAAAATAGATCATATCATCTTATGATTCTTTATGATTTGATGTCTGTCATTTTTTAAGTTAAAGATACTGACCAAAAGATATCTTTTTACTTATATAAAAGGTAATTCTGTATGCATTATAACATATATACAGTCCTATATAATAAAACCCTAATATCCAAATGGCAGAACAACCTGCAGGATGACCTGTTGCTGTGATGCACAGTGACCACCAGGGGGCAGATGTTCAATGCAGGAGCTGCCCCTGGTGGTCAGTGGGCTTCTAGAGGGGGAGTGCTGCTCAGCCAGAAGCCGGCTCATGGCTAGCCAGCACAGCGTTGGTGGCAGGAGGTTAGGAGCAAGGGGTCCTGGACTGAGAGCCCCCGACTATGAGAGGGCACAGACTGAGCTGAGGGACACCCCCGCTCCCCCTTCCCTCTGGCTTCCTCCCTTTCTCCTCCTCTTCCCCTCCCACCACCCCCCCCCCCCACCAGTGCATGGATTTAATGTACCAGGACTCTAGTATTTTAGATAATTGATTTCAATTATAAAACTGTATGGAAACAACATGTATTGCAAAATGCTAACAGTGCCTGTTTTAGAGTTATTGTGTTTTTTCCTCAAATTTTCAAATTAATTTTTGTAATTTTGCTTTTATAATGGGGAAGAAAATTTGAAATTTTTAAAACAGTGTCATTGTTATGCAAGTTTAAGATTAAGTACTCATTTAAATGTCATATGAAGGACTATATAGAATTCACTTAACATATTGTTAATAGCTCAGAGACATTCAACTGTAGATTATGCCAGTCAGTATATTTGCAATTGATTTCTTACTAAGTGATCTTTTACTTAGATAACATTTTAGTTTACTTGGTTCTAATGCCAAGCTATTTATGTTATTCAATTTCTCCTATTCCACACTAAAGAAATCCAATGCTTCCAGGTAGCAAAAATTTATCAGAACTGAAACTTTATACATATAAAGCTGTAACTTATAAATTGTAATACCTTGCTTTCATTCGTAAGTTTTTCTGTAAGAGGAGTATATGTTGCAAATCAGATTCTTTTAATACTAATTTACCAAGAAATATAGTCCAAAAAAAGGAAAAATATATAGTCCAAATGATCCAAAGAACAAAAAATTCAGATATTTCAAAATACATTTTAAGTGTGGTATAAATGAACAAAATAGTGATAATTCTTTAGCTTTTTGGAAACAGAATAGTCTCCCTCTTGAGAAAAAAATAGGGAATCATAAATGAGTTTTCTTTAATAAGGGGATTAGCTTATAATTAAAGGAAAAACAGGATGAAAATAATTTGCATGTTATGAACCTGAGTTGTATATTTCTTCTGTATGCTGATGAGGAAACAGAATATATGACTTAGTTAATGAATCAGTGGTCTTCAAATTTTACAATACATCCCTTTCAGTGAACATTTTGAGTATACATACCAAAGTACCACAAACTGGGTGGCTTAAACAATTGCAATTTATCCTATATAAGGCTAATATGCAAATTGATGGAACAGAGGAATGACTGGTTGCTATGATGTGCATTGACCACCAGGGGGCAGACACTCAACACAGAAACTGCCCCCTGGTAGTCAGTACGCTGGAAGCCTAGCTCACCGCTGGCGAGTGCAGCAATGGAGACTGGAGCCTCTGCCACCTCCACTGCAGGCAGGCGGTAAAGAGCAAGGGGTGCCGGACTGCCCCCAGACAAAAAGAGGGATGTCAGCCTGCTAGCTTAGGCCTGATTCCTGGGGGGTCCCGGCAGGTAGACATCCCCTGAGGGATCCCGGACTGTGAGAAGGTGCAGGCCAGGCTGAGAGAACCCCCCTTCAGTGCTCTAGTCTCCTGCACCAGACCTTTAGTTTTCTCATAATTCTGAAGTCTGGAATTCCAGGTCAAGGTATAGGGATATTTTCTCCTGGAATATTTCTTTCTTGGCTTCCTCCCTGTGTATTCACATGGCTTTGTCTCTGTATGTTCTCTCCTCGTGATTTAGGAGGACACTAGTCAGATTGAATTAGGACCCACCCTAACGACCTTTTTTATCTTAATCTCCTCTAGAAAGACCCTATTTCCAAATATGTCACATTCTGAGGGACTGGGATTTAAGGGCTTCAACATATGGATTTTGAGGGGATAAGTTTCGGCCCATAATAGTTACTACTGTATACATGTTATATTGTACTTCATACATCCCCCTAAACATTTTTTAAAGATTAGATAAAATTAAAATACAAGCTATTGTGTTTATTTCCCAGTCCCAGTGGGTTGACTACTGGAACCAGTACACACCACTTTGGAAGCCTAAATTGAGAGCCTTAGCTAACTAGCTACTCTCACCTCAAGTCCAAGTCCAAGTGCCTGTACCTAACTTTGCTTGGTTCTCCTGCTCTGATGGCAGGTTTCTCCTGTGTTTTTCTGCCATCCTGATGTTCTCTTAATGTCAGATTGTTTTCCTATAAAGTCTATCTTTACTTTTGACACATACACCTCTAAATACACAAGAAGGTTTTTGAGAGATGTCTTATGTAAATATGAAAATTCATGAACAGTATAGGAGATAGTCTCTAAAGTATACTTATTCTGAAATATTTCTTAGATAAATGACTTCACAATAAAGTTGCTTAAGATTGTAAAATAATAATACTTTCCTGTTTAGTAGTAAATTCTTACTAAGATGCTTTATTCTAAACAGTGAATATGCTTTGTAGTTTGAACATTTTCACAATGCTCATTTTACTTTTTAATACTGTATCTTATCTCCCACCAAGCCTAAATTTAAGATTACTGGAGAACTTGTTGAAATAAATATATTAAGCTTCAAATCACATTAGTGGTAATAACATCTGTTTACATGGTCCTCAGAGTTGCACCTGTCATATATCATACACCCACACTGATATTTGGAGTGCCCAGGGTCTCAAAATCATGGTGCTTACCATTAAATACCAGGGATCGCATTAAGCACTGATTTTCTCTGTGAGGTTGCCCATTGCTGTTACAGGGAGCAACTCCTTAAGAGCAAATTAAACTGCTGTCCTCACCTGAGAGCCAGTAAGGCTGCCCTTCGCGCAGGAGGGGCGGGGGCGTTGTGCAGGGTCATTCTGGCCTTCAGGCACTGGGTATCAGAACTTGATAAAGACCGCGATAGTGAAAATAACACACAGCAGCAGCTAACCTTGGAGCGTTTACTGTTTCCTGGCTCTACTTGTTTATTTTAATCAATTCTATCATTTAACCCTCTCCTTAAAGGAAAAGGATTATCCCAATGGGCCATCTCTAGGAAATGTGGCAATTTCTCTTCCCCCCATATCCATCCTTTTATCCTGAGTTCTGCGTATCTGGGCTCACAGGGAAGTTGTGGGACTTTGTAGATTAATTCGACAACCAGCTCCGCCTCTGAGAACGCCTAAAAACAATTTTCCGGAGCTCCAGGAGCACAAAAGTCAAAGCGGGCCCCAGGGGCGGCCTGAGGTCCACGGCAGTCCGCCCAGGGGCCCCGGCCACGCCCCCGGGCCCCGGCCACGCCCCCAGGCGTAGGCTCCGCCTTCTCCAGCCGCGGATGGAAGCCACTCAGCGAGTGCCTCTCGCGATATCTATGCCACTTTGGCGAGATTTCGGGAGCGCTGGCAAAGCAGTATCTCGCGAGAAGCTGCAAAGACGGCCAGGCGGAACTCCGGAGCCGGGCGCTTTTGGTTCCCTAGAGCTTTAGCTGTTGGGCCGTGTAGCCCTCTCGTCTGGCATCTCCTGGCGGGATGGTGTTGACCCGGGTGAGGGTCGGGCCGGACGCTTACTTAAGGGCCTGGGCGGGGCCGGAGGGGACTGGAACTAGGGGTCTTGGGGGATCGCTGGGTTTCTTTGGTCCCAGTGTCCGCAGCGCTTCCGGTAAGCCGGTAACCCGTGTGCATCCCAGCGCGCTGCCCCGAGTGCCCGCTCCTTCCGCTTCCGCCGGACGCCGGCTCCCCGCGGGCCGGAGCGGCTGTCACTGCCCCGTCCCGGGCGCGCACACCGGGGCCTGCTGCGTAGCTGGCCCTCGACACGCTTTTCTTGGGTGATTTACATGAATCAGAATGGCGAGGGAGTCTCCGAGGAGACAGTGACTTTCCTCCTAAATGAGCTTCATTTTGGATTAGTTTCACATTTAGAAAAACACTCCCAAGGATAATAAACCGACTTTCCCATGTGCTTTTCACCCAGTTCTGTCAACCTCTGAAATGACTCACCTAAGTTGGCTTTCTGTGCTAACACCACCAGACTGCTTTTACCGTCGCTTTACATTGGAGAAACACTTTTTAAACTCAGAATGTAGAGCACGGTGATAGAGCTAGTGCTTATCTCAAGTGTCCCTGAGGAAAAAAAAAAGACTGCTAATGTTGAAGTTCAATAAATTTGTAATATCAGAGTGTGTCAGCAACTTTTTCTTATCATCATAGCTGAAAGCAAAATCAGAGGGGAAGCTTACAAAACAGATTTGCAGAGTGGTGCTGGACCATTTTGACAAACAGTATTCCAAGGAACTTGGAGATGCCTGGAGCGCAGTAAGGTTAGTATAATTCAGCTCTGGATCTGGTTACTATAATTCATCTCTGATCTTTGCAGTAGGATGAGAAAGGCGACGTCTCGGGGGCGGGGCTCGGTGAGAATAAGAGAGAGGAGAATCGGAATTTGGCTGTGATTTCTACCAAGGCTACAGAAGGGAAGAACTGGGAGGAAGTAGGTTAGGTCATAGGAACATAGCAAGGGGGATAAAAACTGTAGTGACAGTGAACAAAAGTTGTTATGCCCTCGCCTTGAACAAGTGCTTTGATCTTTGAAACAGGAATGCCCACCAATCTGACAGAATTAACGGTACTGTAACAAAAATCTATTTTAAGCTTTTGAGGATATTTGACCTGCTTCTGTAATTCAGAAGAGAATACAGCACACCTTTAAAGCTAGCACTGCTTTATTTTAGTTAAAGTCATTTTTGGCAATCGTATTTCTTCCCTCTATATGGCTGGCTATTGTTTGGAACACACATGCGAGCTCGCGCACACATTTACAGTATACACAAGATTCCTTAAGTGCATTATAGAAAACAGATAAGCATTAAATCCATAGAAGTAAGTGAGGGAAGTCTGATGTGTATGTTTAGTGAGTTTTTCCTTTTTCAGAATGTTCCTCTGTAAGCTCTTCATACTGAGTTCCTCACATACCGGGCCCTGTGGGATGCAAAGAGCAAGACAGTCTGTGTTCAGTGCACTTTTTTACTCTGGTGTTCACCGGGAGAGGGGACATGGTTGAAGCTCTGTAAACCTCTAATTCCATCGTATCCTGATAGAAATAGGCAGGGGTACCTGGTCTTATCTGATGGTGCCAGCAAAGGCCTGTGGAGAAGTCAGGTCTTGGTGACTTAATAGAGTTACCTTGGCAAAAGGAGCCAGGCATTTTAGACAAAGGGAAGAGAGCATTGCTTGGGAAGTCGGGGACAAAAACCTGGTGCATTTTGCTCAGGGAAGAAAAGTTACATGGCTATAGATAATACCTGGAACTTGATCAGATGGCTGTCTCAATCATCTCTTGTTGGGTCAACTCAATAATCGTTCCTTCTTTACAAAGGACAGTTTAAAGCACTTTTTAAAAACTCTTTGTTTTTAAAACAAAGAGATTAAGTCTTGACTATTGAAGTCTGAGTTGATTGCGAGAGAATTTTAGGACAAATTAAGCTGGTTTTATAACTTGTAAATACTGTAATATGAAATTGTACTTTATTTTTGTGCTTTCCCCCCCCCAAAAAAAAAACTGTTTTTAAAATGGGTATTTTTTATCACGGAGAAGAAATGGGAAAGAACGGATAGTGAACAGTAAATTCATGAGGTTTTCAGTATGCAATGTATTCAACCAAATAACCAAACTCCTGTTGCATGCTTATTATGTGCCACCCAATACGAACTTTGTGATCCTCAGAGCAAACTCATGAGTTTTGTTTCCCGTTTTTTAAACCTGAGGAAACTACATAGAGTTTAAGTAATTTTCCTAAATTCATCCAGAGCTGAGGTTAGTGTTCAGGCTCTCTGATTCAAGAACTTCCACTGTTCAATTCTATTCTGTATGCTTCTCATACCTGTGATGTGTTTATACATACATGGATGATTTTTTATTGGTAAAAACCACAGATTTCAGGAGGTATATTGTCTTCGGACTTTATAGTAATCTGGCCTGTATAAATCTGGCTGCCCATACTCTGTAATGAGCTATTTTTGACTTCAATATGCTCAGTCAAATTTATAATTATTACTTGACCCTAAACAAAATGAGCAGTGAACCTCAAATCCATTTAATTAGCTGTGCCTTCTGCTTCATCTACCTTTTTGTTGGGTTTTCATGGTAATTTAAGTTTTGCATAAACATGTGCTAAATTTGCCGTAGGCAAAATAAAGGCTTTCTCTGCTTAGAAAGTAGTCTGAGCATGAAAAATAGCCTGGGGGAAGAAAAAAAAATATTTTTTGTTTTTTGACTGTTTAGTTACAAGACATAATGTGTCCAATCTAGTTTGCAGTTTACTTCCAGGGAAAGGTGAGGGTATTTTAGTCCTACCAAAAAGTAATTTGCTCAATGTTTTCAGTTTCCTGTGGTAGAGGAAAAGATTTAACATTTATTTTAATGTTATTGTTTTGTGATGAACTTTCTTGCCCAGTCACCCTCTGGGCAGCCCTTTAAAGTTGAAGTCTACTCTGGTTCAGGTTTTGCTGCACCTGTTGCCTGCACGGTCTCCTTCAGTGAGCCCCCTCATGGCATGTGGATAACCTTCCCTCCCTCCGCTGTCATTTCAAGCTATGCAGTCCCATACTTCTAAGTGTTTTCTGGTAACTTCACTTGGTTTTATGCCAAGCAAACTAAAAAGCATCTTATTATTTTTCCTTTCCAATTCTAATTTGTTCTTTGCTACTTGCATACTTCATCTCAATTGAAGGCATCCCATCCATCTAGTTTGCTTTCTTTCCCATACCTTCACTACCTTTGCAGTAAAGAATGACCCTTACTCAAATACAGGTCTGCCGTTTCCCTTAGGTCCTCAGAGGTGGTCTCTAAGATTTGCCATACGTTGCCTAAGAGTATCTTTGTTTTCCTGGGGGCTTGAGCCACAACATCAGCTTGGCCTGTGACCTTTGATCTCCAACCTCTGGAGGGGCCGAAGATCAGCCACATAGGCTGGCTGGCTGGCTGTCATCTTCCTATGGCTGAGGCAAAATAAAATGTGGGCACCGAGGCTCTCGTGAGCCTCCCTAGTTGGCAGTGTGATAATACACACTGCACATTATCACACACTGTGGCAAGGAAAAGTTATTCTTACCCATGTTTCACTGGGTAAGAAGACTGGGTCAAATGGGAGTTCTATTTTTAGTTTTTTGAGGAAACCCCATACTGTCTTCCACAGTGGCTGCACCAGTCTGAATTCCCACCAGTAGTGCATGAGGGTTCCTCTTTGTGTTTCCACTGCAATTTATTGACATAACTGTTATAGTTCTTTCAAGATTGAATTGCCATAATTTAGCAACTTGCTGTCTCTTCCCTGTCAAGGGAGGGTCCATAAGAACTAATACCTTAAAATTTGGGCAGGTCATCTATTTCTTCACAATTTGGTGTTTATATACCAGGCATTTTGTTAAGCACTGGGGATACATCAGTGGATTATATATTCTATTCTCAAATATATATGAGGGAAGATTAATTGGAAGTGTTATGAACTTTGGGAATTTTGGGGGTCACTTCGTAGAAAACATGGGGCAGGGAGGAGGAAGAAATTCATGGTCGGGGACAGAGAGCCACTTTAAGCCTGGCCTGTCTGTAAATACTTTTTATTTGGATACTGTCTTCACTAACCCAGAATTCACATAGCTCACATTTAGAGGGGAAATATTATATAACCAGAGTACACTGCCAGAATTTGAAGGGGGCAGGGGTGGACTGGAGAGAGGTAGTTGGGGAAAGCAGAAATGACTAGTAGTTTGGTTTCTGCTTTATCCTTATGTTGGCTCTATGTACATTTTTAACATTAATCTGTGCAAATCACTGGAAGATAGAAACTTTCAGCCCCTCCTAGTCAGAGGTTAGAAAAATTGCCAAGTGTCTCAGTTTTTTGCCAATGAAGACCTGTGACTTGAAAGTCTGTGCCTTTTCTTCTACCAAATGTGCTGCAGTGAAGGGACTGGAGTCCCAGTCTCGGGAGCATTCCCACCTTTCCCTTACAGGTGGGACTCCTTGTGTGCAGTGTCTTCAGTCTGGCCACCAGAAACAAAACCTTCGCTCAGGACTTCTTATCTGAGACACTGGGGATAACAAATACTGACATAGGGTGCCCTTCTGTGAGAGACAATGAGGAAAAAATGCCAAGAAAGAGTAGGAGGAAATGCTTGTCATTAGAATTTTTGAAGAATAAAAACGAAATAGCTGGAAAACATACTTAGGTGCATTTGCGTGAATTGATTTATTCTTTATTTCTAACCCAGACTTTAAAAGTGAGGGAATGTGCGCCCTCTTGTGGATAATAGTAATAAAACAAAAATAATTTTTTTAGAAATGTGTTTTTCTTTTTAAAGCGTATTTCTTAATTAAATGAAAATATGAAATTATGATTTTTATTTAACCTTTTACTCTTAGAATTAGCATTTTGGTACAGTTTTAGAAAGCAGCCAAAGTTCTACAAATGCTGGTTACATTTTTACTGTAATTTCAGGTTATTTCATCTCAGTTATATTTTTATAAGATTACTCTTAACAATATATATTTAATATATCTTTAGAATGTATCCAATCAACTTCTTAGTGGGTAAAATTTGGCATAGATATTTTGTGGCATACCTACATTTTTGACAAGATATTTAGGTTTTTCCTTAAGAAACTTTTAATAGTTATGTTTTATGTTTTATGACCTTGTATGGTTCATTTGTATGGTTCATTACAGTTTACAAAACCTGCTGTTTTAACCATTGCCTACTTCATGTCAGTTGACCCTTATAATAGTTCTGTGACTTAGACAAAGCCTGGCTAGTTCTGAATTCCATGAACATATTCCTGCTTCTTTTTTAACTTGTTCTTTAAATGTACAGATGCAATGCACTCAGATGGCTATTGAGAGTATGAAATTCCAAAGAAGTTGTCAGGGCACCATGCAAGATCATTGATCAGGTGGCATGGTGAGAGCAACACTGAAGGGCAGTGAGGCATGCAACCAAGGTTTCAATCAGTCTTGGTCCTTTCATCACCCGGATGAAGACACTGGACCTGTCATCAGACTTTTCTGGGTTTCAGTAAATCCTATCTGAAAATGAGTTGGAAGGAAAAAGATGAAATCATCTCCAAGTTCCCCTCTAGTTCAAATTTCTGAGACTTGATTTGAACCAGTCAGGGCAGGGATTTATTTTTTTAACCATGAAAATTTATTGGATTTGTAATCTACAGGGTGATATCAATTGTGCTTAGCAATTTTTAGATGAAACATTCTAGATAAAATGTCCTCATGTAGGAAGCTATAATGGATAATAGAAGAATAAAAGAATAACGT